CCACCACCACCTTACCCCACCTCCCCTCCCTGCAGCCCCACAACCCACCCCCTGCTGATTTCTTGGGCCAGGGGCTGATAGAAATTATTGATTAAATCTGTGCAGCTCAGACTCCTCGACCCACAGAGGCTGGTTAACCCCTTCAGCGCCGAAGTGGGGGTGAGCTGCAAAGAGCTGGATGTTTTTAAAAAAAAAATACAAAAAAGACAAACAAAAACAACATCAACAACCCTGTTTGTTCGGTTGTGCAAAGTCCAGTCTGCCTGGTTGCGATTCCTGATATGCAAATGACATCGGCGTTGACCTTTTGCGCCCCCACTTCCCGACTGTGAACTGTATGCGGTGAGAGGTAGACAAGGCTTTGTGGCTTTCATTACGTGGGGGTGGTGCAGGCACTGGAGCCGACACGTAAACCGCATTGACCTTTCTTATTCATTTAGACCTTTAGTCAAGGGCTTCGGCCATCATCTTTAAAGTTATAGTCTCTGATCCAACGCCCCCTCCTCCTCCTTCTCTGTGACTTTAAGTGTCGGAGCACGGCTGCGGGGTCTTTATCCCGCCTTCTCCTCCAACTAAATCCTGATTGCCTCTTTCACTGCCTGAGGTTGGGCTGAAGATGCATCTCATATGTACAGCACAGTAATCCATAAGGCAAACACACACGCGTACAAACACACACACACACACACATAGAGGGACAAGAAAACAAACAAGATACTGCGGAAAAATCCGAGAGATCACCTCCTCCTCCTCCACCTCCACCATCTCCTCCTCTGTGTTTTGCAAAATGTCTCTGCAGAGAGACAATTATTTGAAGAGACAAAATGGCAGCAGCTACATTTCATAATCGCTTTGTGCTAACGGCGCAACGTAGTTACGTAAAAGAAAATAAAAATCAAGGATATTATAATGCAGGGCTGATGGTGGACACTTGCAAGGCCTTGTTTGTGTCAAAGTGGATGTCTTTAAAACTTGCCGTCTTCAGACTGGGGTTGTACAGACTGCAGCGCATTCAAATTCCAGTCTCGATTTTTTTTGCCAATGCGGCCGAGGTGTGTGTGGCCAAGTCGTGCTGCTCTTTCCCATGGAAATCAATAGAGGCTTGTAATTAAACAAAAGGGGGTTGGCCAGAAAAGGGGGGGAGTGATGGGGGTGAGGTTGAGGGAAAAAAAAAACACAACAACCCCCTTCGGAAAGTAGGTTATGTAGAAAAGTGCCGAGCTGTCTAAATTGTGGCTTTGCCAAGAACTAAATATGCACTTTACGAGGGTGTGGGAGCAGGGAGATTGTCAGACACGAGCACACACTTACACTCTGAACAGAGGGATGTTAATTTTTAATGACTCTGATTGATTGGCTGCTCATACTCGGAGCACTGGCTCGTTAAAATAATGTTTGTGTTTGGTAAAAAAAAAAAAAAAGGAGGACAAGGCAGAGATGTGGTGAATTAAGAGAGGCCGATTGACAATTACAAGAACAAAGGGGGTGAGGGTCTGGTATATTTGAAGAAGGGGACGAGCTGTTTTTTGTTGTTTTTTTTTGCAGGGCAGCGTGGGTTTCATCAAGCAAAAACCTCAGTGTGGAATTAGAGAAGAACCGTGGAGATAAAGCATCTTCTGATAAGAGGGTTTGCGTGTGATTTGTGTAACGTTTTGCTAAATGGAGGATGTACACATGTGCTCTCCGAGCCAAACAATCAAAGATCAATAATTGTGAAGGGATTGCAAGAGTGCACAATCATTACCTATGAACCCCATTGTGTTGTTGGGGCTTAATCAGTGGAGCCGCTGACAGGGAGCGAGAGGCAGTGATCAACTGGGGCAGCCTCGCGCACACGTACGGCCCGCAGACCCCCGCAGTGAGCAGACACACATGCTAAAACGCACACTTACACACACACACACACACACACTCCCATCTATGCTCATCTCATATTACTGTGTTCACTTGGATCTCTGTCTGTGCACCGTGTATCAGATGGGCCCTGAGTCCCAATGGAGGTACAACACTGTAACACAGCACTGTACGGCGTGCTGTTGTGTCTTCGATTCACATCCCTGAAGAATATTAAATGTCAAGTAGCAGATTACAATGTGCCTTTCAACAAAAAGAAAACTCCCCAGCATATGAAATCTCCTCAAACACAGCACAGCACCTGGCTGCAAATCACATGGTTTCTTTAGCATTTCTTTCCAAAAAAATAATATCAGAAATCAAAGAAAATTGACATTCAAATGTCAAAATATTCCAAAATGACATTGGATAACATGGAAGACTAATTCAACGTCACTGGGAAGCTGTGATGATTATTCAAATTTCATCCAAACTAATTACTCGATCAGTTGCCAAGCAGTTCCTAAGACCTCACCTCAGTGTTTACAAACCAGCCAACCAAACGTGTGAGCTGCTGCTGCCTCACAGCATCATATTTTTGTATTTAGCTTTCATGTAATTGCTTCAGTGACGAAGCTGATAAAAAGATGTCTGGCAAGAGCTCAGGTCTCATTTGCCTTACCTACTTTGCCAACTCAACCCTGGCCGACGCACGACTGAACTTGTTATAAATCACTGCTGAAATTAATCAATCGCCCTGGAGTGAGTGGCATTTGTGCACAAATTATTTCTCAGCTTCATAAGCGATTAAGTTCTCACCCACTGCTTGGGTTGATCTTCATGCTTCATTTAAGAGGAGGGCACACCTCTGTGGCTTTTTTTTAAATTTTTTTTATTGTAGCTACTGTACAGATCAATAGGTGCTGTTTGGGAGCAAAGTAAACAAAGGAACGGCACATATGGCGCCTTTCCTGCTGCAAACTGGCCTCAATGTGCTGATGAGTTGTGATTACCCAGGCTGTTGAGACAATGGAGGGAGCAGTGGTACATTCACACCGGTGTGCGTGTGTGTGTGTGCTGTGTGCGAAGGCGCGAGACATCAGTATGATGCTTTTGCTTTTTCTCATGTCTCCACCTGAACTGCATACTGATTGCTGCAGTGAAGAATTTATTTTGGAAGACATGGAGAAAGATGGTGTTTGGGGAAAACCAGAGGAGAAAGTGTGTCTGTTTGTTGTTGTGATTTCAGTGTGTGTGTGTGTAAGGCAGAAAAAGAGCAAAGCCAGTGCTTACCCTCCAGCCGGAGCGAGGCCATCCTTTGAAACTCTGGCTCCTGGAGCCAGCGGGACATTCTCTTAAAGGTCTCACGGCCGGACTTGAGCTTGCCCCAGGGCTTGGGGTTCCTCAGGAGGTCGGACAGTGTGCCCTGTGACCTACACAGCACCCTCTCGGCGAAGATGGCCTGGGGGATGCTGTACCTCTTCAGCTCGGTGATGATCCTCTGGGCCACATCCCTGGTATTGATCTCCTCTCCACCGCTGCCATTGCTGCCCTGCAAACCCGAGAGCATGCCCTCGCCGGGTGAGGATGCGGCGGACGAGGAGGAGTGCAGGTGCTCGCTCACCTTGGAGGCCTGCTGGCTGGGGTGGTGGTGAGGTTGGTAGTGCTGGCTGTAGATGTGAGGGTGGTGGCCTGTGGCGTGCTGGTGAGCCTCCATTTTGTTCAACTGATGCCCCACCGAGACCTCGCCTCCGCCGAGCCCCGGTGGCGAAATCTCACGGCCAAAATCCGACGTCCTGCAGAATAGGCTTCCTCCGTGGACGTCGTAGCCACTGTGGATCATCTGGCCACCGTTGCCGTTGGGGCTGTTACCCAGGCTGCCGTAGCCGTGCATGGAGGAGCTGAGGCCTGAGCCTGTGGTTGGTGGTGAGAGGCTCTGGGTCATGGCCAGGTCTTTGCCGTAGGGGTTGTAGAAATTAGTGCTGAGGCCTCGGTCCTCACGCATAAGGGTGAAGCTGCCAATGACATTACTGACCGGCAGACAGGGGTGATGGTGATGGTGGTGGTGAAACTTGTCGTCAAAGGGCTGCAGGGGGGTCAGGGTGGTGTAGGTGCTGCCAGAGCTGGACGGGGAGTCGCCGCTGTAGCCCAGTGCCGACATGGTGTGGTCGAAGCCCGGTGGACGGTGCTCCGGCTCCAGGGACATGGTGGGGCCCCCGAGGGAAGGCCTGGGGAAAGCAGCTGAAAGGTCCCTGGTGTGAAGCATGGCCCTGCCGTCCTGACTGTGGGTCAGGTCAGGGTGAGTGTGGAGGGACATCTCTCCCAGACCTCCATCCATCATCACTTAAATGAATTTCTAGGCTCCTGTTTAGTCGTCGTCGTCGTGTTTATTTCTTTCCTCTTCTTGTTATTGTTGTTCAGCGGCGGTGCTAACAGTCTGGAAGCTCTCCTGTTACACCAGACTATGGATTTATTGATTTGTGAATTAATTGATTTCCGGGCTTATGGGGTGTCTAATTAATTATCTGATAACGTTAAGTACTGTCTTCTAACTCCCCTCAAAGTCCCAGGGACGGAGTTGGCAGCAGAAGGAGCTCTGAGTCTCAGCTCTTGTTTTTATTTCTGCCTGGACTCTGTCGCCTCCTGTGTCTTTGGTTCTCAGCTGTGCTGGAGCCTCGGGTCTGAGTCTGAGTGAAACAAGACGGGCAGTTGTCAGTGCGCTGCATTTTTATTTTTATTTTTTTAACTTTCATCACCACTGAGTCGGAAACCAGACGGATTCTTGATAGGTGGAATATTTAGCCACATGCATCCAAAGAAACAAATTTGATACGAATTTTTTTGTAAAACACCTCGCGAACACAGAAGACTAGACAGACAGTCATCTATTTTTTCCACTTCGGCCAAATCATTTTTTTTTTGTATTTTTACAACATGCATGCTATTTTAAACCCCGAACTGCGCCTAAAGGACGAGTCAATGCGCATATTTACGCCACACACGAGAAATAAAGTCGGAATAATACAGACGCGTGGGGGAGACCCACGGTCCTCGGTCCTACCTTTTTTTCAGTGTCCACTTCTTAGAGCGCGTCCTCGGCTGTTCATCTCCGTCCTGTCCTGAGCATGTCTCCGTCTGTGTCGCCGAGCAGTCCCTGCAGATCCACGCACAATCCGTGCGCTGCGCCCCGTGGGTGCGAACGCTCACCGAAACCAAAGCGCAAAAACCATCTGCGATTACGCACAATCCTTTCTTTCTCTCTGTTCTCGCTTTTTCCTCTTTTCTCGTCTTTTCCTCTTTCTATCCCACTCTGGAACAAACCAAAATCCGGTCAGTATTCTTTCCGCCTTCTCCTTTTTTTTTGCGCTCTTACACTATACACTAGCAGCTCTCTCCTCTTCTTTTCATTATCTCGTGAGATTTTCCTCCTCCTCCTCCTCTTGCCTCTCTGCCTGCCACTTCATCGATCTCAGCAGCAGCAGCAGCACCACCAACTCTTTCTCCTTCTCTTCCTCCTCCTTCTCCTCCTCCTCCTCCCCCTCTCGCTCTCATCGACCCCCTCCCCTCTGCTTTTCAGTGCGTCACGGCCTTAAAAATCTGACAGATGTGCGATGAAATTCCTACTCCAATTAACCCTTTCTCTCCGGGGGTGGGGGCGGGAGGGAAGAAGGGATGGAGGAGGAGAATCAGGGGAATGAGGAGGAGGAGGAGGCGGAAGATGCTCCTCTTTCTCACAACCCCACAGGTTAAAGCCTTGTTTCTGCTGATTGCCAGCGAGCAACTTGTGAATTATAACGTCGCAGAAGGAGCGCAATCCTGCAATTATTGATGTGATCAATGGAGGGCCGTGTGTTCAGTCTTGTCTGTGAACAGAGTGGCTCCAGACTTACACATGAAACACAGGATATTTTTTGCTTTCTCTTTATTGTCTTTTAAATAGATATATGTTATTGTTATGTATAAAACCAGTTCAGTAAAATGACAATATTGAAAAATGTGTAAATTGTAAATCAGGTTTTCTCGAAGAGGCGTGAAAATAGTAAAAACGTCACCACAGCCTGTGATTAATTCTGTCGTTGTCTTTTATAGATACGAAAAATAGAGACAAATGATTGACAGAACTAAATAAATAACTATAGGACTGTGTGCTGGGGCAACGCAGCGTTTTCAGGTCACTGATATGACTTTTAACCCACTGAATTGACCTAACTCAGGAGAATTGACTCAACCGTGTGAGAAAACTATACCCAATATGTCGGCATTATTTTATTTAGCATGATAAGATTATCATTCGAAGGATCAAGTGCTAAAATGTGATTAATATCCTGTAATTGTGTTTTGTGGTAAAAAAAATATTTGTAAGTACAGATAATAATTGTGAATTATAAATAATGTAATGTTTGTAAATGTAAAAATAAATGATCTCTACCTGTCTATATATATATATATAGTGATTTATTATCAGGAGACCTCGTTAAAGATTTAAAGTGGATTTTACCATATATGGGTTTCTTGTGGTAAATATGCATGTCATATTGCATGACAATGCATATTGTGAATTCTGCATTAAAAACAAAATTGTCAATATGCAGTAAATCTGTGGCTTGTGGCCCAGATATTGAAATAGAGGAGTGGGCTGTTCTAATAATAATATTACAATTAGCAGGTTAGGACAACACGTTTTCTGCTGCATGGCAATAAAGTGAGACTAAGGTCATATACTGGCCATTCATGTGAAACTAAATAATCTAGTCTAACTGTTCTTTTTGAGACAGGTCCATGGTTAGGATTTATACAACATGCAAATATTATTTTTTAAAGGAGAAAACTGTAATAGTGATGCCTTCACTGTGTTTGGCAGAATAATGTGAAATATGCTGCATCTCAGAAATGTATGTTATATGTTTTTTATCCTGGTTTATTAATACTGCAATAACTAATTCATGGTGTGAGCACGGGGGTGGTGGAATAACTAAATACACGGTGCATGTGCTATTTTGTGAGCCGCCTCACTAACTTATTGACTTGCAGCGAGAGGGGCAACAAAAAGAAAATCTATTTCTGCTCTTCACCATTTCCACACCAGGCCGTCATGCATCATCCGTGCATTCAGCGCCATGCTGCAGGAGTGTTTGCTTTGGTTTCCCTCTCACTCTTATTGGTTTTAGACAAAACGCAGATAATCACACGTTTTCGAGAGAATGGGAATAATTATAAGAAACGCCGTCAAGTGGAGGCTCAGCAGTGTTTAGGTCCCGGCTCTTAATCAGCACTCAGTGGCTGCATGATCCACTCATGCACACGCTGACACTTGAGTCTGGAACGACCCTGGACCAGATCAATGCAGCCCACATCCCACAATACACCCTGAAATTACCCAGAAACAGCTTGGACGTGCTGCAGCATCAGCAGTCTGCGCCGCGTGTGCTTTCATAATCATTCCGTGTACCAGTCTCCGAAATGCACGTCTCTGGTGTCTGCGTTCGTGCACACTGGCGCCTGTTTTTCTGTGCTTAATTCCACATGTATATTAGTGTAATTGCGCGTGCGCGTCCCCGGGCCTCAGAGAGAAGCAGCAGCAGTCAGGCCAGAGCGCGCATACTAATCATATGTGTCTGTCAGTTTAATTTTCAGAGATGAGCAGCTCTGGCGTTAGAGAGGAGCCGAGCTGTGCGCGGTGTGGGACCGTCGGCTTCCCGGAGCAGATGCTGCCCTTATCGATCCGTCCTGCTGCTGCTGATGCTACTGATGCTGATGCAACTGATGCTGATGCTACTGCTGTTACTGCCGCTGCTGATGCTACTGATGCTGCTGCAGCCAGCACTGTGGGGAGAGGGCGGGGGGGAGGGAGGGATGGAGGGATGGATGGATGGGGGCGCGTTTATGTGGCTGGAGGTAAAAATGGTCAACGGCTGCAGACGGAAAATGAAAGCAGGTCAGGGTGAAAGTTCACCAGGAAATAAAAAAGACAAGGGCAGACAGACCCTCCAACTTTTTACCTGCGGCCCTGCAGAGTTGGGGGCTAACTGACTCCCGGTGGGTTGTTCAGAGCAGTGGCCTTCACAGACCGTCAGTCTGTGCACCACACAGTTAAGGCTGGTGATTGGGTGTGCGGTCTTTTTTTTTTTTTTTTTACTAATGGGCTAACATTTAGATTTTCATTTAATTTTTGCAAACATAAACCTCGCTTGTCCTTGTTTTAAAGTTTATATTAGTCTGTGGTCGTTTGTTTATGTTTTTGGTTATTTATACGTTTGTCTATTAAGAGAACAAAACATAGATTTAAATAATTTTGGTGACATAATTTGAATTTGGGTAACAGGAAGCTAATATCGGTAAACATTTAACATAATATTTTTTTACCACCATGTTGAGTTTAGCTGTGATTCTTTTTGATTGATATTACTATATAACTAGTTTATCACGTGACTGTTTTAAGCCATTGAATTAACCTATTAAAACTAAGATCTAACATACATATTTATATATACTCTCTCTCTATATATATATATACATATATATATATATATATATAAGCTTTAGGTTAGGCTACTTTTGAAGCTAACCTGGTCAGGGAGCTACATGTGGTCCAAATGTGGAAAGTGTGCTACCAATGATGGTTGTGGATGTGATTTAGTTTGGCCCTGAGGGACACCTCTCTAATTCAGTGTAATACGGATGATAAATATGATTATTATAACCATAACGTTTGGAAATGCACCTTATTTAATAACCAGGCCTTAAAGCTGAAGCACATCTTCCCTCCAGAGCATCTTCTTTACAGTCATTTAGCTGATGCTCTCTGCAGAGGGAACTCCACAGCCTCCATTAGAAACAGCAGGCCATAAATAAAGGCAGGAAAAACTCACTGTTTTAACCATTTAGCTGCAGCACCTCTCCATAAGTGACTGTGTGTGGAACAAGCTTTTAATCTCCAGTCAATAGTGAATGTTTACACATTCTTACCATTCAGCTGCGTGTATGACTGCCATCCTGTGGGACATGTGTATGTGGCTGCATCGAATCCTGCATCACCAATATTACCAGAGAGCAGTGGCTGCAGAGGTCACAGATCAGGGGTCCAGGCATCACTGTGACCTTGGAATGACCGTGACATGTGCTGCAAAACACACGGAATCAGCCAAAACAGTATTGATTCTGTATTGATTCTAAAATCATATTTAAATGGATTGTACATGTCAAAGATATGGCCTGGGGTGCATTTGTGGAGCCGTTTTTTTTTTTTTTTTTTTTTTTTTTGGCTTGCATTAAATAACATTAAATAACATGTTTATAGCAAGTATTGAGACATAAATATTAGTATATATTTTAATTTCATGTATGTGCTAACATTTGTTCTTTTGGCGAGTTTTCAAGACTTTGAGGCAAATTTGAGTTTTTCTGAAGTTTTGAGGGGCTATTGTAAAATTTGTTTGAACAGTCTGATGACTAAAATTCAGGTTTTTTTTCTTCAACATTTTCATCTTACAGCATAGCATGTAGCTTTCTATATATTGACTTGAATGAACAGTATTTGCTGTTTAATCACCTGGCACATTTTTGGCAGGTCTCACCTTTGACCAGAATGACTTTCAGTACGGCTACTACGGCTATCTTTCTGTCAGTACCTCATATTATTCTTTTGGCAAATGTTTGATTTTTATTACTGATGAATAACTAATACTTTACTATCACTAATATATATATATATATACAGATATACTGTATATATATATATATACTGTAAACTGTATTTAAGGTATCTAAAACTAGTTTTAAGACAAAAACATTACTGTATATATTTATATATATTAGATACATTTATTATTATATTATTATTATTATCAAACTCAGGCCTGCTGCTGCTGCTGCTGCTGCTGCTGCTGTAAACCTGCTGCTGCTCCTGCAGCACCAATACACAGTGCGACATTATTCATGCCTACATTCACACTCGTCCCTCAGATCTGCTGTTTAATCACCGGCTGCTCACAGATCACTTGTTGGTAAATTATAATGGATGAGGGAGCGTGTGTGTGTTTATGTGTGTGTGTGTGTGTGTGAGTGGGAGGGGGACAGATTTGAATGAGATATCGACTGCTTGTTTGCAGCAGCGACAAATAAGGGAGAAAAAGTCAACGACTCTGAATGACTGTTTTAATGCAGTGAAGACAGATTTAATCTGTGGGATTAAAGAGGCAACAGCAGCTTCCTCCTGTTCCCAGGACCTCAGACTATGTTAACAGGGGAAAACACAGAGATACAGTTAATAATAATAATAATAATAATAGTAATAATATACATTTACACTGAACACAAACACACTGCAGGCTGAATTTCATTGTTAAGATTTTATTGAGACAGTACAGCATAGAACACAGTAATGTTAATCCACATTTGACTGGAGGTTCATAAGTACACCGTGGAAATTCAGTTATAAAGAGTTCAATATAATACAAAAAATGCATGCGGTATAATGAGGACTGAGAGGAGTGTCTTACAGAAACAGAGTGTGCGGTTATACTAGTTGACATATGCAACAGGATCTCATAGTCACAATAAGTATTAGTACACGGGCTCAGTCGTGGATATACAGTATATAACGAACACGTACGTTGACATTTATAGTAGGCAATATTTCAACAACATAGTTAACGACGATAATTAAAATTAAAATATGAAACAAAGAAGAAAAGAAATGTAATATTATGAATAACATGAAAAAATTGAATGAGTTTTTTTAATAAATCACAGACACAAACTGTTGATTTCTGCTGCAGCTAACCATTGTAAAGTGAAATGTAAAATACGATTAAATGATGGAATA